GAGTCAAGAGCTCCGTACTACACAGATACACCTGGTAGCAGAAATCCATTTTCCCACGTTTCCTTCCACATAGTTTCATAGCTGCTGTTCCAATTCCAAGCGAGGCTTCAATAGTATCTTTGATCATCAATTACAAAGCTGTGGAAAATCCCCTTAAGTCTACTTCTATTACTACAAAAACAATCCACCTACGTACTCCAAAAATGTACTACCGCCTGAAGTTGTGTATCTCTTTTCAACACATCGCTTGTGCTAAAGTCTGCGGAACCTATTTCGGATGAAACATTCCTCCGGAGAATATTGAAGCTAAATTAGCTGCATGTCTTAGCGTTTTTACCAGAATGTTTCAATTTTAAGGCGAACTGAAGTTCAATTGAAGGTACTCAGCAAAATTATATGGTCATCTTGAGTGGATAACTAGCAAAGGAATTCATCTTCTCATTATCTTACAATGTTACATTATCTTACAGCTTGGAGGTCGCGAAGCGCTAAGCAAGAATATGAAATTTGAGAGGCATTCAGAAAGACACCTGACTCAAGGACTACCGACAGTCCTTGAGTTACGATCACAACTGAGCCCAACATTTCTGTTAAGTGAGAGATTTGTTGAATGAGCTTTGCCTAATTCTAAGATCTTTCTTGCCACGGTTGTTAAGTGAATCACTGCAGTTAAGTTAGTACTACGGTCATTGAGTGAATCTGGTTTCCCCTTTGACGGGCACTGCAACCGTCATAAAAATGAGCCAGTTGCCAGGCCTTTGAATTTTAATTATGTAACCATGAAGAGGCGGCCGTAAATCACTTTTTTCCACTGCTGTGGCAACTTTGGTCACTAAATGAATTGTTGTAAGTTGTGGTTTACCTGTACCACACAAGAAATAATCATTCTGAAACATCGTGTAAAGCCATAATACAACAACATGACCTGCCACCAAGTCTGGAAAATGAATCATAAAACGCCACAATCCCAATATTAAACGGCAGGAAGAGCTTGCAAAAATTAGACCAAAGTTCAGAGTACCATAAAAGAAAACAGGTTTGCAATGTTAATTGTTGTGAAGGAAACAGTGTGCATGATTGTTGATAAATTTCTACCTCTCAGATAATATAATCTTCTAGCTGAATATGCAATTTAGATGTTGCAACTGGTGCAATATTTCTAACTGGTTATCTTAAGCAAACACAATAGTCCCAATGGTTCATTATGAATTTGTCTTTAAAAAAAAAAAAAAGACACTTCCACACTTTGAAACTGACCTAAAACTCACTTAAAATGACAGGATGTGACAACAGCTGCATTTTCATTGCATCCAAAGCCAAGAAATCGGGGCTGTGATTCATAATTTAAAAACAAACAATTTGGAGAATAAACATCTTGGCTTAAATGAATGTATGTCTCAGATATTGCATCATCAATCGAGACAGCCAGGAAAAGGGAAAATTGTGAGCCCTATTTGAAGAAAGTCCTTTGTGTAAAACATTCCATAAACAATGCATTATCTCAAAAGTATGCCTTTTAAACAGCAGGCTTTTACAAATGCTAAAAGTGAAGGAGAGATGTTTTCAAAACAGATTTGTTACACCTTTGAAGGTCAGGTAAGAATATTTCCCTTCAAAAATATTTCAATAGTTTTTCCAATATCCAAAGAAAGACATCTGATAATACAGAAAGGCAAAAATGTAATTTGTTAGTCCTTAAAACAGAACTAAATACAGAGCAGAGGCACCAGTATCGTAATAAAAGCACTTATTATTTTTATCTGCACACAACGTGTCTCTGGACTTCACACCCAAATCCTGTCGCTCCTCTACACTGTACGCACCATCGGAGCGACTAGGCAAATTTATGGCATACCCAAAGTCGTGTGCAAAGCTCTAAATTCTAGAGAAAATCCCCCCTTCCTTCCAATCCTATGGAACATGGGATAACCCTCATTGTAAATTTAAATTTAAATACAGTAGTAAAATATATCTCTGGAGATTCTCAATCATCCAGGTTCATGGTTGAAGAACAGAAATAAAGGATGGATGAGAAGCAAAATGTTTTGAAGAAAGTCCAATAATAAGACATCTTTAATTTTTTTTTTTTTTTTGCATTTCTTCTTTGCCAATTAACCTAGAATCGGAATATTGCACCATCCATAGACTCAAATTCTCTTTGCATACCTGCCTTAAACTATGGGAATATCCCCCAAAGCTAAAAGTTCATTGATTTGCAGCTTTCCAGTAGCCTAACCTTCGTTTGGAAAATGCCTTTCGTAGGGTTTAGCTCTATTACTCCCAAGCAAGCAAGGATTAGTACTCCGGCTGAACCCAGGATTTAAGTTTCCAAATTAAACACAGCAAGGAACCAGGCTTAGCCATCTTTAATTGCATTTAGAAGTCTTTCCTCAGGCTTTCGAAGAACATTATCTTCAAGGGCAGGGTTTTTTAACCTCAGCAATTTTTAAAAGGGTTGGAATTTAACTCTCATGATTCCTCAGCCGGCAGGCTGGCTGGGGAATTCTGGGAGTTGAAGTCCAGACATTTTAAAATTGCTGACCTCTAGGATCTTCTGCCCACATTTATTTATGCTTTGTAAAACCCAGTTTCTTTTTCTGGCTCTTTCTCTCTTTCCTCAGCCTCCCTTCCTCCTTATCCACCAAGTTCACATCCATCTTTCTCCTTAAAGGGGCTTCCCAGCTATGCCCCTCCCTCTATTCATTGTCCTCCTTCCCCACCCCGCTTTGGGGGGGCCCCCTCCCCGCTATTCTCCTTTTGACCCCTTCGGCTCTTTTAATGTTCGCATTTCCCCCTTTATTCACGATGAAAGGTCTTTTTATAAGGCGGGGGTCCCTTGGAGTGTTATTCTGATGGGAATAATAGAACAGGGGATAGGGTGGAGGAACAAAGAGGGCAGGACAGTTGCGAGCGGAAGGAAGGGAGGAAGGAAAAAAGGGTGACAGACAGAAGGAAGGAGAGAAGAGGGATGGAAAGAAGGAAGGAAGGAAGGAAAGAAGGAGAGGAGGAAGGGAAGAACGGTGATTGACGGAGGAAAGAAAGGAAGATGAGAAGAAGGAAGGAAGAAGGGTGACAGAAGAAAGGAAGGAGAGAAAGAAGGGGAGAAGGGTGACTGACGGAGGGAAGAAAGGGGAGAAGGAAGGAAAGAGAAGGGTGATAGAAGAAAGGAAGAAAGGAAGGAGAGAAGGAAAGAAGGGTGATAGAAGAAAGGAAGGGAAAAAGGGTGACTGACGGAGGGAAGAAAGGAAGGGGAGAAAGAAGGAAAAAGAAGGGTGATAGAAGAAAGGAAGAAAGGAAGGGGAGAAGGAAGAAGGAAAGAAGGGTGACAGAAGAAAGGAAGGGAAGAAGGGTGACTGACAGAGGGAAGAAAGGAAGGGGAAAACGAAGGAAAGAGAAGGGTGATAGAAGAAAGGAAGGAGAGAAGGGAGGAGAATGACTGACGGAGGGAAGAAAGGAAGGGGAGAAGAAAGAAGGAAACAGGGAAGAGTGATGAAAGGAAGAAAGGAAGGAATAGTCCGGCTGGGGACGATGGAATTCCTTTCAGCAGAAAGCGGGGTAAGGGCAGGTGGGCAGAATTAACCAACCAAAGATGAGAGAGGGGAGAGGAAGATGCCCACACAGGTGAGCAGGAAGAATTAAAAGACAAAGCCATTGTCTTAAGGGAGGACGGAGGGACAGAAGGGGCTAAGAAACCCCCACTCAGTTAAGGAGGCAAAGGAAGGGGTGACCCCCTACCAGCCCCGACCCGCCGTGCCACAGCTACCCAGCCATTCCAGCTGGGGAGGATGGGGACTGGAGTAGGAAGGAGGCAGGGAACTCTCTACAGCTGGAATCCACCCCACCTACCCCCTCTCCTCTGGATTAGCCAGGGGGTGATGGGAGCGGGGGTCCCTTGGCTGGAGGAGCGCGTTGGGGATGATAGGGAGCCTTCCCACGCAGGATAACAGGAATAATAGGTGTTGGAGTTCCACCCTATTTCCACCCCCCCCCAAAAAAAGACTAAAGGATGTTGGCTAGAAGGTAGAGTTGCGTTGGGTGGGGACAATGGGCAGTGTAGTCTGAAGCTTGAAGTTAGCGCACAGAGAGAAATGGGAAGGCAGAGGATAATAGGCGCTGGAGTTCCAAACCTTCTGCCGCAGCCACAGAGGATAGTGGGGTTGGGTTAGTGGGGGACAATAGGAAGTGGAGTCCAGGACTTGAGCTCCGCAAGGAGAGGAGATGGGAAGGGGGAGGATAATAGGCACTGGAGTCCCATCCCCACCCATCCACCCAAAGAGGATGCCGGCTAGAAGGAGGGACTATGTGTCGGTTGGGGATAGTGTAGTCCAGGGCTTGAACTCAGCAAGGACAGGAGATGGGAAGGGGGGAGGATAATAGGTGTTGGAGTTCCCCCCACCCAAGAGAACATTGGCTAGATTAGAAGGTGAGTTTGGGGATCATGGGGAATGTAGTCCTGGCCTTGAGCTCAGCAAGGAGAGGAGAGGAGAGGCGGGAGGATAATAATAAGCTCCGGAGTTCCAACTCCCAAAGAAATGGGGCTGCGGCGGCTGGGGATAATGGGGCATGTAGTCCAAGGGAGAAGCAGCAGTCCCGCCCGCCCGCCCGCTCACCTTGCTGCAGGTCCTGCTGGTCGTACCACGGCTCATCCTCGCGTATCTCGAACTCCTCCACCAAACTGTCGGTGAGCATCGCGCCGCCGCCGCCGCCGCCGTTCACCGTCCCTGCGGGCGCTTGGCTGCGCGCCGCCTTTAAAGCCGCCCCCGAGCGCCTCCGAGCGCCTCCGGATTTTCCCGAACGCCCCGCCCCGCTGCTCCCGCGGGGCTCAGGAGGCGGGTCCATGAGGACCGAGCGAAGGCAACGTGGCAAGGACGCCGGGCGCGATTCAAAACCAGGAACCCACGCCGGCGGCAGCCAATTAGCGCGCTTCCTCCGCCGGGCCTCTCGTAGCCGCTCCGGCCAATGGCGAGCCGACGGCTCCCGACGGCAGCCAATGGCAAGCGATTGGAGAGGTGTGGGGGGGGGGAACAAGACCCGCCCTCCGAGCTTTTCTGCGCTGCCCGAGGCTGGAGTGCGGGTCAGTGCGGCGTTGCCCGGAGGCAGGGAGGGGTGGGTTCGGTTGCTAGGCGTCCCGAGGGGTCGGTTGCTAAGGGGAACGAATGGCGGGTCCCGTCGCCTTGAAAGAAATTGCGGGGTGGACACCGGCAGGGTGGCCGTGGGAAGGGTGACAGGAGAGGGGGAAGAAGTAGGTGGGCTGGTTAGAGGGTGTTTTTCCCCCAAGAATCTCAGCTCCCCGCCACTTACAAAGCAGGCGGACGGGGGAATGGAGCTCCTGGCTGGCAGCAAACGGGGCTACAAAAGGAAAAGGTCCTACTGCTTATAATTACTATATTTACTATTAATTAATAACCATTCGTTTGAAATGGTGTAGGGTCTCCTGCTTGAGCAGCAGGGGTTGGACTAGAGGACCTCTAGGGCCCCTTCCAACTCTGTTCTTCTAAACTGCAACACCAAACTTTTTTTGTGTTCCATTTATACAGGTCCAAAATATTAGACGTGTCTATGCTCAGCCTGAAAGCTTTCTACAGGAATGCATAGAATTCTGGTACTATCAGTCAGCTCCGCATAAGTGTCCTGCCAAAAAAAAAAAAGCCAAAATGCTGAGAAACAAATAAGTTTTTATTTT